ACAACCATTTGTCTGAAATGGTAGGGTTTCCTGCCTGAGCAGGGGGTTGGACTAGAAGACCTCCAAGGTCCCTTCCAACTCTGTTATTCTGTTCTGTAAATTGTTGCTGAGAATATTATACAGATACAGTTAAAACATTTGGACAAATTTGGCTGCTAGCTGATGAGAGCCTCAGGTGATTCCTCCTCTATTCTTTCATCTTCGTTGCCAAGTTCCTATTTGATCTTCCTGTTTATTTGCTATGTGCGTTTTTCTCTCTAAAAATTGGGTTCCTTTCATGCCCTCTAACATTATAAAGAGGAAAAGACCAAAGTGGCTTTCATAATAAACTATTAAGAAACTGCCTCTGAACATGCATTTGAACGTGTGTTGTAATTTTCATGAAGTAGTTATCATACTGCTTGTACTTCTCTAGTTACTGTGAGGTGAAAATTGGGATAATAGAAGCATTCCTTTTATCCAAGGATGCTCAAGTAAAATGTAATTATGATGGGCTGCGATCAGCCAGGTTGAATCCCTGGACACATCTTAGGAGTTTCAACCTGTCTATCTCACTAAGGGATTTTTCTACCAAAACCTGTCTACCCTTCAGCTCAAGACTGAGGGAAAAAAAATGGAAAGGTGGATACTTTGGATCTTGTTATTCAAAACCCAGAAGTAACAAACAAACAAAATAGGAGGAATTGTGTAGCAATGAAAGAAAGGTTTTAATACCTTTATTCACACAATTCTGTAAGTATAAAAAGAAAGGTTGTTGGGAAAAGGGTAATATATGGAAGAAAAGTAAGGGCAAAATTATCCAGAAAATTTTCTACAGGAAATCAATACAGATCTTAAATTTCAGCACATGTTCAAAGTTCTCACAGAGAATTGCATGCTGCTTAGATGTAGCTAAGCAGGCCTTCTTTCCTTTCTAAATTTTATATAATATAATAATGTATACACTGTAATATCGGAGATAAATAGAAAGCAGCTTCTTTAGGGAGAATGATATAAACCCAGAAATGTGATTAGTTTATGTTAACTCTGTTAAAATACCTTGAAGCACATCTTGATGTTAACACCCTGTTCCTATTTTGGCATTTCATAACATGTAGAAATCATACGATATTTTGTTGATGAGCACAGCTATGCACCCACACATATCGCTTAAATAAACAATATACATTTCAAACAATTTAGAGAACTGATCATTCTCTCAAATATGACCCTGAGTTTAGCTTATTTAGATCTACTAATATAGTAACAGAAATGATCAAAATCCATACACAAAGTAAATATATCCTCTTTCCCTCCCCCTCTGGAATTTAATGCTTAAGTTCCTAAATCAAATTATGCCATGGGTTTGGTTTTTTGGTTCTATTTATTTTGTTTTTTGGGCTGTATATGACCCAGCTCCTTGTAATTTGTAAACTAAGATTTACAGCTAAATACAATGTATGAACCCAATCATAGGGAGTTATTTGACAAACCATTGTAAAAGCCATCATTAACTTAGTGTGATGTGTGAATACATTCAGTGTATTATTGTCTTTTTGTAGTCTTGCTTTCTGAATTTCCAACTGTGATCTAAAACATCAGACCAAAATCAAGATAATTTCTCATGGAACCAGGCTTTCTTATTCTCCAGCTGTTATGGAAAACGTGCCTTCAAATTCCTGCAGACTGACGAAAAGAAGTATGGAAATATGTTCCTTTTATCCGAGGATGCTCAAGTAAAATCTATGTAGGTTCTGTTGCTGTACTTCATCCCTCAGGAACAATACAGTCTCTTACATTGAATACATTTTTATATTCTGAGCAACTGATTCATAGAGAAGTTTTATGTGACAAAAATAAAATAATGGACAGCACAATTACACAATAATTTATTTCCCAGCTGATGTTAGTCCAGAGCACCTCTAGGCATTTTCATGTGGAATACGGAGCTTTCAGGCTTTTCTGCCTCATCCGAGTTTCCATGGTGACATGGCTCAAACATTTCTGAGAAAGGTGAAATGTAAAGCCATCTGTTCCTCAATATTTAGGGCTTTCAGTATTTAAACGAAACAACTAACAAGAAAGAGAGCCAGCCAACAGGGCAGGGAACCTACTTCTCCCCAGCCCCAGGACTTCTGACAGTTTCTCTTATTCAAGAGTGCACTGTGGTCCATCGTTCTGCTTTCTCTAGTTGGTGCAGGGAATCATTGATTTCAACCAGGATGCTTGAGCACAGCATTATTTGGATACTGCAAAGCAGCTTATTGCAGATATTTTTACATTAAGCAAAATGGATATCAACATGATTCATTCAGGCCTTAGAGTTCATTTGGCACACAATCAGGTGCCAAAGCCATATCTCTGAGGATGTATTCTGCTTAAAATGCTGGGGCTGAACAAAATGCTTCTGTGGCATGACGGTTCTTCAAACCTATGACCTGTTTATTCAAACTAAGCATCCGATCATTGATTGATATTGTTTATACTGTAATTTTAGATGGAGATTGTTTCTAGAGAGCTTCAGGTTCTTCAATAACTACTGGAAAACAAGAAGGGCTTAATAGCATCTTTTCAGACTAAAACATACCGGCAGTATGAAAAGAGATAAGCTTTTGAGAGCTACAACTGCTCATCAGATATTTATGCCTTTTAATACCAATATGCTAGTATAAAAAGGTGCTGAAGCAATTAGGGGTACTTTTCTTCTAACAGTCTTGCTAAAGTTATGTAGAAAAGGCCCCTTGAAATACTTAAAACACCTTAATTCTTTATTAATCTTTTACATATGGTTTTATTAATCCACTCTGACTGAATAAGGTCAGATTTTCACCCAAGGATAGTCTGATGGTAGGTATCACTTCCTGGCACAGACATTCTGAGATGCCCTAGTTAATGTGCCCGTGCACTTAAAAGCTTGCATCTGGGTAATGCTTCTTCAAATGCATCCAAAAGGGTACAGCAAAAATATATCACCACGCTGGCATCATCTTAAGCTACTAAATGGCACTAACACTGGGGCTATTCTCTCCATAAAAAACAGTGCTGATTAAGAGCCAAAGGTCAGTTTCAGAATCAGTTTTCAATGCCAGAATTCAGCTCAGGAAAAATGAAATGGCAGCAAGCATATGCAAAATGTCTTTAACTAATTGCTAAAACCAGTCCCACAACCTGGGTTTGGATTCAAACTTGAACTCCAAAGCAGCTCAGCTTTATAAATCTGCAGGACTGGGGAAGCATCTTATCTTGCATTTAGTAATAACAAATTATTTCAGTTTTGGTATCTTTATTAAAGAATTCGCTATATCTAGCACTGAACAACAAAACTTTGATTAGCCATTTAGAGCAAGAATAATGTCAATCTTCCTTAAGGCAGGTGTTTTTTTAAAAAAAACTTGGTGACAGAAAAAACCTTGTACAAGTTTGTTAAATTCTATATTGGATTTAATATGCCTTGTAAATGATAAACATAAGTATATTTTTTGTGAAAGTTTATTGCATTCCTGAACTATTAAAATTAAATTTGCTATGATTTCTGTGGCATTCTTTCAGCCAATAGCATGTTCAGCCCGCGTCATATATATATATATATAGCAAAGCAGGAAATGGATTATACTCGGAATCAGTGCTCCTAATCATTAAAGAACACAACAATTAAATTTTAACTATGTTTCAACTCCACGTCGTTTTCTCCAGCAACTTCATCCGATTCTTTATCTCTTCTTGGCTTTCCTTTTATTATGTCTATTATCTGCAAATTTGTCTGGAAAACGGTCACCGTTCCAGAGATAAGGCAACGTCTCTTAACCATTTCTGAGTACAATCCTGACTCCCGTCCTTCGGCTTGGATGGGAAAATGCCACTTAGAAAAGTAGTCTGCGCGTGATTCTGAACAGGACTCTGGAGCTGCCTCACCAGCACATGCTCTTGCACGCTTCATCAGCGCGTGCAGAGAGCCTTGCCTGGCGCTAAACGTAGAAGGGATAATGCCTGCGCTATTTAGGGGAAAAGATTAATTTGGCCAGTTAATCACCGTACCTCCGCTTGGCCACCGCGGAAAAACCACACGGATCATACAGTGTGATGGAGTTACGGCCCCCGGAGGTTTGGGGGTGGGGGTGGGAAGGGTGGCAGAGAGAGGCGCATGCGTATTGCCGGCGGGGTGGGGGGGGGGAGGACTCAGGTGCTCGGTTGGGAAAGTTGCCCGGGGACCGAAGGGTGGACGGAGGTTGCGCCGGGAGCAATTCCACGCAGGCGAGCGGCGCGAAGAGATTTTGCTCCGCTGCCTGCAACGGGAACGGCCGAGCAAAGGCAGGCGCGGCGAGGGAGGACGGGGCACTTCAGCGTCCGACTCGAGCCAGGCAGGGGAGATGCTGCTGCTGCTGCCGCCGCCGCCGCTTCCAGCGACGAGGCAGAGGAGAGTCACGGATTCCGCCGCCTTCGCCGCCTCCGGCAACGGCGGGAAGAGGAACGGGAAGGGCATCTGAAACTTTCCAGTGGGATGCTGCTGAGCGGAGCCGGGCTCCCCCCGCTGCTCCCGCCGCCTTAACCTCCCGCTTCGCTCGCTCTCCCTCAGGCGCCCAGGCGCGCTCGGAGCCTGTTCCGTTGCCGGAGCTCGGCGCCCTCGGATGCCGCCTCTCCAGCTGCTTCTCTGTGGCCGGCGGGGATTGTGGGCTCGCCTTTTCCCTCCGCCTGCAGGGGCGCGGCCGTTCACTCGCCCTGCCCGGTGGCGGTGAGGCTGAGGGGGGGGGGGCTCGGCCCGAGCGGCGATCGCGGGCGGAGAAACGCGCCCCCGCCGCCGCCAGGAGGCTTTGGCCGCGGCTGCCGGTCCCCTCTCGCGGGATTCCCTGCCTTTCTCGGATGTGCTTGTCGTCCTTGGTCGTGATTATGAAACCCTCCGCGGGGATCCCCTCCGAGTGAGCCCCCTCCGGCCAAGCCGCGAGGAGCTGCCTCGCCTCCTTCTCGCCCACAGCCTCCGCTCCTTCCCCCCGCCCCAGGACCCTCCTCAGCCGCCCCGGCTCGCCATGGGGCTGGAGGTCCCGCCGAGAGTCCCTCCTTCGAAGCCTCCGCTCTCCAAACTGAGGAAAGTTCGCAAGAGGCGGGAGATGCTGCTACAACAGCTGGGCTTCGTCTGCGCGATCCTCTTTTTTGTTTGGTGCATGGCCAAGCTAGGTAGGTGGGTGGCCCTCTGTGTGTGTGTGTGTGTGTGTGTTTGCGTGCAATGACCTACAGGATATGCAGGTGGATTGCACGCATATTCCCATGCCGAGGGAAGAGGGAAGCTGGGAGAAACGGATAACGTGGTACAAATAGGGCATCTCTGCCTCTTGTATGGCATCCTTGTCAATCTGCCCGGGTAACGGTGATTTTTATTATTTAATTCAGCCGGGAACAGTTCTGGATGATGTCTGAATTTCAGCGCATGAGGATGCGGGAACTGCATCCAATGGCGTGTTTCCCACGTCGGGTGTTCAGTGAGGTACTCTCTGGGAAACATACAAGCAAGAGGTTTCACCTGTTGTGGCCTGTGAAAGTTTAGAGCAGCCGTCCTAAGAGTGGCCGTGCCCAATACATTTGTGTCACCCATTTGAATAATGTGCCTAGCGCTTTCATAAATTATCTGTGTAAAATAAGTGCTTCCTTATTGTTTTGTATTATTTTATTTTGGTGCTTGAGCTATTGTCAGTAAAGTGGCAATGTTCTAGCCAGTCCTTGGGATCCTCAGGTTTATTTTGAAAACATTGAGTTTCTGATATTTTCCTAAATAAGTATTTTCAGAGTTATAGTATTACTTATTGAAAGGATGTGTCCTGCTCCTTGATCTACAGTACAGAGCTGTGTATTACATTTTAGGCAAGAACTGGGGGAGGGGGGGTATCATTTGATCTCTGTGGACACCGATACATAAGGGATTCATTATTGTTAAGCAGACATCTCAAAACTGTAGTTTTGTTTTAACAATTACCAGTCTGCAATACCAGTTCCTAGAAAAAACACATTAATTCCTAGAAAAGACACATTAATATGTATTCATTTTAGAATACAATGTCTAAACCAAAGTGAATCTGAGAATCAAACTGGAGATACTTAGTAATTAAATCACATTTGTCCAAGTCGCTATGGAGTGATTTTCATGATTGCATAATAAACATTAATGAATTGAATTAATACTGATTAGGAAATTAGAGAAAGGGCAGAGGAAAAGAAGTATCTGTGGTATAATGTTGTATGCTATTGGAGGTAGTTATTTGGTGACTGTCCCATTTCTTCATATATTGTACAAGAAAGCCAACAGTCCCTTTAAGTGAGCTCTCAATAGGGAAGATGATGTTTTATGTAAACCGATGATGATTGTATTTAATGCACTCCATCCCCACCTTTAGGAGAGTTCCTTGCTAACTGAGTTACATAAAGCTTGTGAACAGAAATTGCACCACTCCTGTGTTTTCTGTTTCTTCTATGCTGCTCACTTTGTACATCTTCCAAAACGGGCAGGTTGAAAGTAGGGCTGCCATCCGATGTTTAGAAATGATCAGCTATGGACTTTTGCTGTCTCTTCTAGGGAGTTTGATGAGGGTCTACGAGATCAGAAGCTAGGGTGATCTGTTCTGTTCTAGGGATACGTTATATCCCTGCACTTTGGCCAACCCTCTAAATCAGACATGTCAAACACAAGGCCCAGGGGCCGGATGCGGCCCGCGAAGTGGTTTCATGTGGCCCGCGAAGCCATCCTGGAAACAGTGAGGGAACAGCCCCCTCTGCCTTGGCCCTGGCCCAGGCCGGCTGGGAGCCAATGTACAATTTTGTGGTGGCCATCTATGCTGTAACACATTCAGTCTTAGCTCCACAAGTCCGTCTAGAAACAGTGAGGAACCAGCCCCTGCTGTGTCAGCCCCGCCCCCTGGGTGCATGCTGGGGAGGTGTCACCCTTTGTGAGGAATGAAGAAATGGACCATGCCCTGGCGCTTGCCCCGGTCCCACCCCCTTCTGCCAGAGACCCTCAGATCTGTCCCACTCCTGCCCAGGCCCCCACAGGCACCCTTGATGCGAAAAATGTAGAGCTGGCCATGCCCACCCAGTAGGCCACACCCACTGCATCCACGCCCACCCAGTAGGCCGCACCCACCCTGGCCACACCTTCCCACCCCTCCCCGAGGGCAACCGCAATGCTGATGCGGCCCTCAATGAAATTGTGTTTGACACCCCTGCTCTAAATTAAAAGAGGCTGTTAAGAAGACACACCAAATGGAACAACTAATTTTTTTTTAGAAAAAATAAGAGATTTGGCAAGTACAGTGGTTTCACCCTAATAAGAAGTAGGAAACACTACTTTGTTCAACTGTTATGCTGCCAGGTGGCTATTAAAGGAATGACCTGTACAGCTGAGACTAACAGTTTTTGTTATCTTGGACAAGCCAGGGTTCCCATTATCATTTCACTAATAATAGGCAAGGAAAAAAAATACAGCATCAAAAGCTGCCCTAGGAACAAATGTAGTATGTGTAGCCACTGAATAATGTAAATTACTCTCTGTGGCTTCTCTCACTCAGAGCAGGTTAAGACTGCAGTCCTGTACATAGTTACCAGGGAATATGCTTGGTCACACTTAGGAAAACTGGCCTCCCCGTGAAGATGTATTGGTTTATGTTATACAAGGATGAGCTAGAGATAATGCAACATTCCCATCTCTTAGGCATGAGATCAAACAACCTCAAAGCCCTTTCACAAAGGAATTAAGTGCATCAACCAATTCCATGAATCCCGTTCTCTTTGGAAAGCATCATTCACTACTCAATTCTCAGTGGTATAACTTAAATGCCACACTGCTTCTCTTCATATCAGGCCTTTACTAGGGAAGTGATGGTTTTAAGACTGAAGAAAATGAACAGTTTGTTGGTAATGTCTAGACATTTTGCCAGGTTATCAGGAAAAGATCTTCCATCCTATATTGCAATGGAGTGTGGCCTCACATAAATAATATTATTGATAGTTATTGTTATCAGCATATTATTATTATCAGGCTCTTTCCCCCCCCCCCTTTGTTTGGTGTTAAAGGACAAAATGGATACATTTAGTCAAGGCACAAAGACGAAGAATGATCCCAAGTTTCAATGAAGTTGACCACCCCATCATTATCTGATTACTTGGTTATTTTCACTGGACTTAAGAGATATTGACGCTGAAACTTTCTCCATATAAAGAAAGCCGGAGGAGTACAGCGGAGGACTTAAATATAAATATGACTGCATTACATAATTTAGATTCACCTACTGTGAACTTTATTAATATTTGTGAGGACCTTCCTTCCTTCCTTCCCTCTCTCCCTCCCTCCCTCCCTCTCTCCCTCCCTCCCTTTTTCTTTCTTGTTTGATAGATGCTGGGATTCTATACCTCTCTCCTGATGTTTTAGTAATCAATTTTTAATTTCAGTCTTAGTGACATATTGCTACCCTCTTACATACTGTATGAAGAAGTTGTTAAGAGGAAAGAAGAATATAAAAAAGCCTTACTGGCCTTGTTCCCACAACCCATACTGCCATATACTGAGGATCAGCATATCAGATGTGATCCAGAAGGGTTTGATCTTAGCTCAAGGGATCAGTTGCCCCAACTGAGTCCAACTCCTAGATAGTTCTATGAAAAGGGGACTTTTATAGGAATTAGCTCCCTGTCATTGTCTTATTTTTTTTTTACTTTTCCACAGCATGCATGTGGTAAAACAAAGGAATAAAATAAAGGGGTTGGTTGTGTCCCACCAATTTTGGACTAGAAAAAAAAAAGTCAGTCCTTGAAGATGGACCATGTCAAAAAACAGACTCTACTGGTAGACTAGAACTATACTGAGATAAGCCACTATGTAGTAAAGAATCTTGCAAGTCTGCTTGTATCTTCCCTTCCTTCCCTCTTATATGAAGGAGTCTGGAAGGCAAGGGCGGGGGCTACACTGAGTCATTTTATAATGCTCTCTTACCTTTCTGGATTTAACACATGTTTTATTTGCACCTGTTGCTTCTCAACAGTCTCTGGAGTCTTTCTTCATGGTCATCTCTCTGGCTCTGTATGCTCCGAACCACTGTGGATTTTTTTTTATTGCTCTGAATAAAAACAAAGCAATACAAAAGAAATGGCAGCCACTCAACCTCCTTGGCCAGATCCTGGGAGAATTTATAAAATGGCTGCTCCCAGCTGACTAGGTCACCAGAGATTGTGCTTTACCAGCACACAAGATGAGGCTACCAGTAGTTGAGGTCGCTCACTTGGCCAGCAGTGTCATGTAAACATTGGCAATTTATTTGCTTTTCCCAATGTGATGTGTCCCAGATGTGTTAGACTGTAAGATTTATTATCCCCAATGAGCAGGACTATAGTAATTCAAGATATAAAAATATGAATTGTACCTAGTAGAGGTTCCTGGGGAAAGCTGATCAAAACTATATAAGCATCCAGCATGCCTCAAATTTTAAAGCATAAAATCCTTTTTAGAGAAACTTTTGAATTCAGCACGGATTCTAAGTTAGTGTACAAGAAAAGATATACATATATTCTATCATCACCTTTTTTTAAAAAAAGTGAGTATTTTTGTTAATGTAATCAACTTTGAATGAGTGCCATGTCAGTTTCATTTAATGTGGATGCATATGCATAGACATCCATATTGATAAGCCAATGGTTCCTAGTGGCTCATTCCAACCAACTCTTTACAGGCCATGGGAAAATACCTGTAGAAAAGGAAAAATTGTTTTAGAAGTTACTGGTCAGATGATGAACAGAAGTGTGTAGTCCTCCACTCATATGTCTAATAAAATCCTTGCAATGTTTCCATGCCATGTTTTATTTGTGGAAATAAAAATATAGTTAACTCCTACAAAACTCTTTAATGATATGGATTCTATGGAAAGTTTCCAATTCCATCACCTTGAATACAGGTTCTCCACAGGGCTGTGTCCTAAGCCCTCTACTGTTCACCTTGATGATCCACGACTGCTGTGCCAAATCTCCTATGAATCATATTGTGAAATATGCAGACGACACGGCAGTGGTGGGTCGTATCCAGGATGACAGTGAAGATGCTTATACGGAAGAGGTGAAGGCTCTGGTGGACTGGTGTAATAAAAATAACCAGGTTCTAAATGTTGATAAAACAAAGGAGATCATTGTAGATTTCAGAAAGAGCCGGCATAGTCATACTCGACTCAGTATCAAGGATTCAGCTGTAGAGATGGTCAACAGTATTAAGTATCTGGGGGTGCAGATAACAAACAATCTGAATTGGTCTCTCCACACGTCATCCTTAGTGAAGTGTGCAAACCAGCATCTGCATTTCCTGCATCAGATGAGGAGAGCACAACTCTCTCCTTCTGTCCTGGCCACTTTTTACAGAGGCACGATTGAAAGCATTTTAAAAAACTGCATCACTGTCTGGTTTGGTGGCAGCAGTGCCTCAGATAGAAAGTCCATGTAGAGAATGGTAAGGACAGCTGAGAAGATAATAGGAAGCTCGCTTCCTGGTATTCAGGATGCTGCTTATGAGCGCTATGTGCTTAGAACTGAAAGCATTGTTAGAGACCCCACACACCCACTTTACGGTCTGTTTCTGTTGCTCCCCTCTGGGAGGAGGTTTCAAAGTATTACTAGCAGGACTACCTGATTCTGTAATAGCTTTGTTCCCTATGCAATCCGTCTGATAAACTCGCAAGCAATATTCGTTTTTCACGCCATGCACATATATACATAATCCAAACTAGACTGTTGTTTCTCTGTGTCATGTAATATATGTGGGTATATGCATAAGTATGTATGTGTGTGTGTGTGTGTATGTATGTATGTATGTATGTATGTATGTATTTATTTATTTATTTATTTATTTATTTATTTATTTATGTATGTCATATTTATGTAGTGTATATCGGAGGTGGTGACCCTTTGAGAGCTGAATGCAACAAAATTTCATTTTAATGTATGCCGATAAGTGTACATTCAAAGTGACAATAAAGTTATTATTCTATTCTATTCTATTATTCTATTCTTATATTTGATTCCATTATAAATACATTGCATTACATTTATTTTTTTTCCCTTTTGCGTTTTCAGTTATATAACTGTAAGATTGCTAAGTTACAAGATATTAAGCCCACTTCATGAACTTTTCCCATTTTATTTTTTAAGCCTGACCTGTATGAATGAGCCCAGGGGGCCTATATTACTCTGCTTCTAAAGCTAGCATTACTGTGGGAATTTAAATGGCAGGTTCCTACTGGGTATCTTTAGAATAAAGGCTTATTTGAAATTGTCTCTGCATAGTACACTTGAAAGAGATTCTTGAAGTAACCATCTATTAACTGAGAACAGTACAAGTCTTGTGTACATTGTTTTATTACTTCTGTACGGCCTGGCTGTTGAACTGAAGGAGAAAAGTGAAGCAAATGTTCATTTTTCTCCCATTTCTTAAATTCTTTTATTTTTGTTGTTATTATTCTTATTTTCTGCCAATTTGTTTGCCCTGGGCACTATTATTTAAGAAGAGACTGGACAGCCATTTGTCTGAAATGGTATAGGGTTTCCTGCCTGAGCAGGGGGTTGGACTAGATGACCTCCAAGGTCCCTTCCAACTTTATTATTATTACTAGCTGTACCCGGCCACGCATTGCTGTGGCTCAGTCTCAATGCACCATTGTGCATTCATCCCCAAACAATAAGTTTGCATTTCTGCAATACTTTTCTCATGCCGGATGCTTTGGAAATGTTGCACGTGTGAGTTTCAATGAATTGCATGTTCAATGGCAATTTCAAAGCGTCCAACAGATGGCGCTGTTTTTCAAAAAAAGCATGTTTTTACCTGTCACAGGTGTGACATCTATATAATGGTAGATATATAAAAACAGGCGCGTATTCGAATGCAACATTGTGTCAAAATTTCAAAGCAATCGGTGAAGAACTTTCGGAGATTTAAGATTTTGAACAAACGAACATTTACATTTTTATATAGATGATTATTATTGTTGTTGTTGTTGTTGTTGTTGTTGTTGTTGTTATTATTATTATTATTATTATTATTATTATTATTATTATTATTATTATTATTATTATTATTATTATTATATACCTGATATTTTTTGGAATGTTTCTAAGTGTTCTTCAACATTTGTATAAATGATTTAGATGAGGGAGTAGAAGAATATTAATCAAATTTGCAATGACATAAATTAGGGTGGGATTGCTAATACCTCAGAAGATGGCTCAAGGTTCAAAAGGATATCAGTAGTCTTGAACATCATCCAAAAAACTGTGGGGTTTAGATAGGAAAAGTCAGATGCACAGGTACAAGGTAAATGGTACCGGTTTTAGCAATAGTATTTGAAGAAGGAGCTGGATGTATAGACCACAGATTAAACATGAGCCAGTTTTACCCCGTACTAATCAGATCATATCTGCAATACAGGTAATGTAGTTCTTGCTTAATGTTCACTCATTCAGCAACTGTTCAAAATTGTGGCCCTGAAGAAGTTTATTTAGGATGATTCTTCATATTCGTGGCTGTTACAGTTTCTCCATTGTCACATGATCATGATTTGGACACTTGGTGACCACTTGCAATGATGACATTGAAGCGTCCCATGGTTATGTGATTGCCCTTTGCAACCATGATTGCTGCCTTCTGACAAACAAAATCAATGGGGAAACTGGCAGGAGGTCACAAATGGTAATCACGCAACTGCCATTGTAAGTCTGCACGATCAAATGACATCATATCTTATGATCACATCACTTAGTGATGAAGTTCCTAGTCTCAATTTCTGTCAATAAAAGAAGACTACTTGGGTTGTATCCAGGTTTGCTTGCTATAATACAAAAAGAAAGCTGAAGAACCAGAAAGAATATGAAGAGTAGCAATAAAGATGGTAAGGGCTTTGGAAGCTGTATCCTATAAACAACAGTTAAAGAAAGTGGCTGCATTTAGCCTAAAGAAGACTAAGAGGGTGGCATTGGAGTGGCCTTCCAAAACATGGAGGAATATTTCAGGGACAAGGCTGTGATTTTATTCTTCTTAGTGCTTGAAGGTAGGACAAGAACCAATGGGTGGAAGCTTTACAAAAAAAGATACAAACTCAAACTAAGGAGGAATCTCCTATCTGTGAAACCTGTTGAGCAGTGGAACAGCCTGTATCTTGGAGTTGTGGTTGTTTCATCACTAGAGGTTAGAATAGAGCAGAGCAGAGCAGAGCAGAGCAGAACAGAACAGAACAGAACAGAATAACAGAGTTGGAAGGGACCTTAGAGGTCTTCTAGTCCAACCCCCTGCTTAGGCAGGAAACCCTATACCATTTCAGACAAATGGTTGTCCAGTCTCTTCTTCAAAACTTCCAGTGTTGGAGCATTCACAACTTCTGGAGGCAG